ACAATTACCAAATCAAATTTCATAATAAGATATCACAATTAAAATGCGGAACGGAAATACTCGACATAATCTAATCACAGCTGAAGAGAGTGGGTAATTTATAAAATAATATAATTTTCCAACTAGTTGAAGTCGAAGTAGTTGTTTTCAGTTTTCCCCGTATTGAAGTTAAAGTACGAAGTGACATTGAGTTATATAACCCTGCAGGTACAGTACTGGCATTGAGTGTAGTGTTAGCAGCGGTGCGGCTCTTGTCCCTATCAGTACAGCATCATGAGTCGACGCGACAAGATCATATCTTACAATAATGTGAGCTACATTTGCTTTTTAAATTTTAATAATTATAATTAATTTAGAGTTTGTGTTGATATTGATTGTTCAAGTTTTTTATTTGCGTGCTGAGTAAAAAAAATGTTTATGTAGATTTTGGTTGTGTTATAAATTTGGAGTGGTATAGAAATTTAAAGAAATTTTAAATTTTCAGACTTCACCATTTATATATATTTCTAGCTTGACATTTTAACCTAAGTTATACATTTTTTAAATGAAATATTTAAATTTATCAGAAACTTTTAAGCCAAAATGATTTAAATATTGAAATATAGTCCTGATCCCTAATTAATTTATCATTATTTCGTTTTAATATTATAGATTTTCAATCTCTTGTTTTTATTTATTAAAAAATAATTTATGGCGGTTCTTGTTTATATAGAAACTCTACAAACTCTTATAATACACAATTGACATTGTTTGTGCATAATTTTTGTTTTATTGTTATGTTTATTATTTGTTGTTGAGTTTGTAATTCATAACTTTTGAGAACAACACGGTGTAGGCCTAGTTATTATTCTTATCAGTAAAAGCAAATCTTTCATTCATACATTTTACAGCCATTTTATGACTTGTGGGAGAGAGCATCAAAGTAATTGAACTGGAAAGTTAAAGAAAGTTACAAGTTTTAAAGTTATTATTCTTATAGTTAATTATTCTCTTATGTTATTACTTATTATAAATATTACTTAGCGGAGTACCCGTTTTTCATACAGTGTTAGGGTATACATTTTACGTGATGATTACCGTTAGTTGTGTTATTGCTTGCATTTGCAATGGGGAAAGGACTCGGAAAAGAAAAATTTGGTTCATTCAATTTTGTTTATGAACTATTTACACATCTACCATTGATTAAAAACTAAATTCAATTGTAAAGCTTATTTTTTATACATTTTAAGTCTTTTTATTTTATTCAATTGGTGACAACCTTTTGAGCTACCATACTCCAGTACAATATATATATATATATATATATACAGTGTTTCATGTGTAAATAATGAGGTGCCCTATTTAACGTTTAGTAGGCCTACCTATTTATGCCAATATTTTTATCTTTCCAAAAGATAGGTACCGGATTGCCATTCCGCCGTGTTCCCCCCAAATCGGGCACTGAAATTGTGTTGATACACATTTATTTATACACTAGCTGTGTACCCATCCTATGCACGGGGATCTTATAGTATTCAGTTGAAACCTTCTTATATAAAGAACAGCAGTTGGTTTGCATATTTTCAGATATGCTGGCCAACTATTATACATACCTTCATTTTACGTTGTTCGTTCCGGATTGGTATGTCAATCAATACAAGGTTTAATTACCTGTGTCCGCCGGTCGATCTTAATGTATCCTATTACAGAAGATGCATTTTGGCGAAATTAAATCGCCATCATCAGTCCTAATAAGGTCTTGAGCTTCCCCATTAGGTGCTTTTTGGTCTAGGAGTTTTTGAAACACATACACAAACTGTACACTTTTATACACATGACGAATAAAACATAAATACACGGTAGGCCTACTTTTAGTTTTACTATGAACATGTAGACGCCCGTAGGTCGTGTGCCGAGTCTCGACTGAAAACGCTCATTTAAAAAATGTAAGTTTCCCAGCCATATACAACACTAATTCAAAGTCTTTTTCCCGGTTATCAAAAATCAAGAACAATTTTATACACAAAGAATCTCTATTTTCATTTACGGTTACCGTACACATTATTGCATTTGCGATTAATTAAATCCGTTATGTAAGGAAAAACGTTTTTAATTTTAACGTTTTCAAAGTAAGGTTTGGATTTGCTTTCAAAACATGATCGGAAATGGTTGCGGTATTTGTAAACAACATTCAATGTAAACATATCAGTGACAGCTAGAAGAAATAATCTTGATTCGAACAGCTGTTCGTTATTTCATAGATGAATTTGTGATAAAAATTGAGAAAAACCTTTCCAAAAATCGCACAAAATTGGGTTTTTAAACGTCCGTCATTTTATTTACAAAGTTGTGACGCCATATTTTAATGGCTAAAGACAATCTCGCCAATCCAGTGAATACATTAAAATGATTTGGAACTTGATAGGTACTCTCGTTTTTCAGGAGAAGGCCGCGTAAAATGGCTCTTGGGCCGTGACAGACAGGAAGACAGACAGACAGACAGAAATTTTGATGAGACTTGTTTCGGTTTCTTTAATGTATAACACGTAAAAATAACCTAGCATTTTATGATTCTGAGCAATGTACAGACAAAACTCTAATTTTATTTATATAGATTACTATAACCATACAAAGTAGGCCTACTATTTGAAAAACAAATAAAAAGCTGACTTAAGAGTGCAACTATTTGAAAAACCTATTGAAAGTTTTTTTTATTTGTCTACCTTGATTTAACAGAACCATTATCAAAGAAAAGCACTCAAAGTTGTCCCGAACTATAGCTTGGTTTTACTGTAAACAAAAAAATTAATTTTGTAATCCTTTTGTAACAAATATTAATACCCCCGCCGCAGTAAACCTGCCGACTAAGCGAATTTCCATCTGTCTGAATTGATTTTCAATTAAATCTATTTAAATAACATTAGGTTTAACGAGTACCTAGGTTTGCTGCTACAAGGAAACTAATAAAGTGTTTTTGAGTAAAGGATTAATAGCTAAGTATAAAATAAATAAATTGGCTATGTTTGATCAAAATTTATCCATAAACAAGCAAACTACAACATTTTACAATATTCTCCATAAGAATAACATTAATTTTTAAATTGAATTAATTTTTTTTATTTTCTCTGTTACCAATAACCGTACAAAACCACTTTGATATACTAAATGATTTGTTTTTGTACCAATTTTTACCCCATAAACCCCCCCCCCCCCCTCCCGTAAAACCCTGTTACCATGGTCCAATTATACTGGTTCGCAAACTCATTCAACTTTATCCCGCATTACACCTTTAAAACTAATTTCATCGAAATCCAACAAAAATTACCTAAGTTATCGTGTTCACGGAAATATATATATATATTTTATAGTTCTATTTACTTTTTAGGGAAACACTTAGGCTTGAATAAACAAATTTTCAAAATAAACTTTTTGCACCATTTGATGACTATTGCTTCTCTTGTTTCAGTGCTTGAAACACATAAAGGTTTTCAAAACTTATAATAATAGCTCAACTTGAAGCACCCAGGTGGAATTTTCCCTTAGCTAATACATCAAACATTAATTTCTAAGAAGTACAAATATGTGTTACCGAATTGTTATAAATAGTTTAAGATTATCTCAGTCTAATTTAGCCTCGAGATTGTAGCTAGACAGTCGATCAGGTAAACGGAAGAAGGTGAATGAGAAAGTAAGATAGGAGAAAGTATGAAGTCGTTGACCTAGACCAGTCTTGACACTGGAGGCAAGGTAGTCAACTTTAATGGGGGAGGGAGGGGTGTGATTTTAAATGGTTTTGTGTCTTTGATTATTCCAAAAGAAAATCTTTGATTCTTGTGTTATTTTTTCCAAAATGTACTTAAATATTTCATTACATATTGGACATTAATTACATTATTTGCCCTTTTGATTTTCCTGAGAATGAAACAAGCATTAAAGAAATATGAAATTTGCCTTATTAAAATTTTCTTTGGATACCACAATTTTTAGCGAATTTCCCCTGTAGGAAAGGCGCTATTATCCGTAAGTAGTCTGGTAAGACCTAGGCCGGGGAGCGATTTGCTTTTTCATTTTGATATCCCTAGTCAAAGATACTATTGGTTCAAATTTACATAACTAGTGATTGTCTGTGATCACAATAAATTGAGAAATTGTGGTAGGATTTTGTTAAAATTTGACATTGATGACTGGAAAATTAAAACGAGTTTGCAAAACAGCATGATCGAACTATGGAAACGGGGTTTTATAGGGTAAAAATTGGGGTTTCCCATTTTTACCATTAATATACAGTAGAACCTTGATAACAAGACTCTCATAGGTATTATAAAAAAAGACTTGTTATCAAGGTTGACTTCTTATTGAGGTTTGCAATAAAATGTGATTAGGGGTAAAATAATTTCAAGGGGATTTGAAAATGACCCTTGTTATCAAGGGCGACTTGTTATCGAGGGTCTTGTTATCAAGGTTCTACAGTATAACATTTTGATATTTCTTTTGAAACCATTTTGTAGAGCTTAGGAGGAGGTTGGTTGGACCATAAAAATTCATCGTACATTAATTGAGAATGATATTTATCCCAAAATTTGAACGTAGCGTCATAACAAATTGAGCTTATGTCAGAAACAAAAATGTCTAATAAGCGTTTGAAAATGTAAAAAAATCTATGTTGGTTAGAGCTTTAATATTATTTTGTATTCCATGATTTGTGTTATCTTTTACAATATCTGTTCTTAAAGTTGAGATCAGGTAATTCATGGCTTAATCTCTTAGCGTTTTGAACAGATTCCATACTATAGTCCGTTCACAAAATTTATGCGGTTTCAGGAGAAGTTCACCGCTACTTTTTTGCCTAATATTTATGTTACAGCTGTTTAACATTTTGGCAAACCTGTATTGTTGGCAGCTGTATTGTTTCAAAGGTAGGATCAAGCGGAGGGGATAGATTTATTCCCTTAAAACCGCCAAGATTTTGTGAAAGGATTGTAAGTTTGTGATGCAATTTAATGTTTTATTCTCTTCTACAGGACTTATATTCACCATCCATGTCAGCTTGGGTAAGACGTAATCCCTGTGTAGTGTTTCTTTTTTTGTTTAACATTTATATTTAATTTTCTACCACTGTTTTTATAATTTTCCCATAGGATTTTACACTTTTTGTTTTAGGTTTTTGTTAATTTTTGTAATTGTGTAGTAGGCCTACTTTGTGTTATTCCTTGATTGAGCATGTTATTTTGGATCGCTGCACAGTTTTTGTTATTGTGTTAAGTGTTTTAGATGTTAACAATTTGACAGTTGTGTCAGTAAATAACTAGGTCTTCTATTTAACGTTGGGGGTAAACTTTGACTTTTGTTTGATATGTTTGAAAAAGTATTTACAAGGAAAAATTTAAAACAAAAGTTACATACATTTTATACTGGTACCTACCTAGGTACTAACCAAGCCTTCTCTGTACATTAAAGTATCTCCATTTAACTATTTAACAAAAGAATTATGATTTTTAGAGAAAAATGACAAATTAAAGACAGTTTAACTACACCATTATCATTTCATTGATGTTTCCTCAGTTTAATATCATAGTAAATAAGCCTTTATAAAATTGAATCCCTCAATTAGTTTCAGTATTTCTGTTGCTTCTAAAATAAAGAAGAATATTGACCAAACAGCTACACTTTAATAGCACAAAATCATCGTTTTACAACTAAAAAAGTTAAAAAAGATTTTAATGGGTATGGAATATTAGACTACTTGACACACAATTACTTTACTACAAAAAGTGTTTTCGTGGTAAAATATTCTACTCACACCTTTTTTGTGAGTAGGAATGGTCAATGACTTGACACATATTAATTTACAACTAGACAAGTTTTCAAATGGCACTGTCATTGTAGTGCCAGTTTACTCGCCAACCTTGGTGCATTTCATATCTAGTCAGCCAAGTACTGTTAGGCTAATCTTGAGATAATGTTTACATCAAGGACTTACGGTGACCTAGTTTAGCGACCCTGCCACTGCCTCCTATATGTCACTTTGGTCCCTTCACTCTTAAAACCAATTGAGAGGTGATGAAAAACGGTAGGGTCGATATTGTTTTTCACTTACCTTAACTAAAGTAGACCAATTGATCAGTTTTATTTAGTAAAATGGAGTACTCTTACATCTATATTAGTTTTTAAAATCTACATGAATGTATACAATTTGTTTCTCAAACTGTATGTGATTGTTCTCTCTCGCAGTAAACTTGGCGAGACTTGTATGCGCCGTTTTTTTTTATTTCTGTTTCGATATTATATTAGGGATCAGTCCCAAAGGTAATCAAATGTTACCACCGTAAGCTCAAAAGAATTGGTTTCTATGCAGGAAAATTACAATAATTCTTTACATTTCCCTTGTGTACATCTCAAAAGCTCTTTACTTTAAATCTCCTCCCATATTTAGATTGAATAAAGTGTAGTTTGATAACTAAGCTGGAGGTTTATCTGATCCCTGCTAATACTATTAGTTGTAGAAAATACACTCGCCTTTGGCTCGCTGGGGGCTCCGCCCCCAGGCCCCCTAGCTGTTAGTCGTCATTAGTAGATTAGAGTTAAGTTGTAACAAAGCAAGAAGTGAAACCGTCAATATTAAGTTATATAAGTTAACTTTAAGTAAGATAACTTCTAGCTTAAGGAACACCTCATAAAAAAATCATTTTTTAAGTTGCGGTAAGTGAGTATGTTAGTCAAGTATTTTTACAATTGAGTTTTTGGTCAAAGGAAGTAATAATATGAGGAGAGAAGGGTTCGTTATAGTAAAAATCGACATTAAAGTAATAACGATTTCATGAATTTATTAGAGGAGATTGATAAGTTAATAAGTTGATAATAGTAAAGTATTATATGAAGTAAATAGATTATAGTAGATATTCAAGTATATAATTACGAAAATAGATTAAGTAAGGTTTGTTTCCCTGTCGGTTAGCCATAAACTTTATGGCATATCCAGTTCCGCCACGAGGAGGCCAGGAAACGTCGGAACCATATTTGCAATTATTTGAATATGTACAAGTTAGTAAACTTTTGTACAAGATAAGTAAATTTATATTGATGTTCATTGATAGGTTAATAAGTTGATAATAGTAAAGTATTATATGATGTGAATAGATTATATTAGATATTCATGTATATATGATGTAAATAGAAAATAGATTATAGTAGATATTCATGACGTATATATTTATGAAAATAGATTAAGTAATGTTTGTTTCCCTGTCAGTTAGCCACAAACTGTATGGCATATCCAGTTCCGCCACGAGGAGGCCAGGAAACGTTGGAACCATATTTACAATTACTTACAAATGTACAAATTAGAGAACTGTTGTATAAGATGAGTAGATTGATTAGTATGTCGATTGATAAGTGAATAAGTTGATAATAGTAAAGTATCATATGAATTAAATAGATTATAGTAGATATTCATGTATATATTTATGAAAATAGATCAAGTAATGTTTGTTTCCCTGTCGGTTAGCCATACAATTTATGGCATATCCAGTTCCGCCACGGGGAGGCCAGGAAACGTCGGAACCATATTTACAATTATTTACAAATGTACAAGTTAGTAAACTTTACTAACTACTTTATACAACAACGGGGACTTTTGATAAGGCAGGCCCCCTATCGTACTGCCGATGTTGTCAAGTCACAACGGGGAGTTTTGATTAAGCAGATCCCCTAGCCTACTGCTAATGTCAAATCAGGTTTAGAGAAGGAGATCGCCATACACGATGTTCTTTGCGTATGCGATTCCATCTCGGACACGTTCGGGGTGTACGAGAACAACAATATGGTCTGGATGTCTGACCCTACTGAGCAAGACGTATAGTTGCCCGTGCGTGAAGCAATCGGTCCGTAAATCAACACCGACTGAATCTATTGTCTGACCTTGGCTCTTGTGTCCGGTCATGCAATAGGCCAACATCAGTGGGAACTGACGTCGACGAACACGTAACGGCGAACCCTCGACAAACGCAAAAGTAAAGGTAATCCGGGGAATTCCGATAGGTTGCGTCTGTCCGGGAAGTCTCACTGTAATCAGGCGGTTGGTGATGCCGATTACGATGACTTTAGTGCCGTTGACGAGTCCTTCAGCGATGTTGAGGTTCCTCATAATGAGGCAAACAGAACCGATCTTCAGCCGCAGAACATGGTCTGGTACGCCCTTGCCAGTAGCCGTGTTCAGGAGTTGAACGTCGACATCCAGGCCATCGTCGTTCTCTCTGTCGACTGTGTCGGCGCTCCTCAGCTCGTACAGATGACTGTCGAGGGAGTTCAAGATGTGGTCGTTGATCTCCTTGACGTTCACTATCAGAGTCGAGAGGATTGCGCGTCGCGAACACATATCAGAGTCGAGTAGGACGTTTGCGGGAAAGACGGAATCGACCAAATCAGTCAAAGACGTCACTTGTCTAATCCCGAGCAGCGGAATTAGACTTTGTTCGTTCCGTCCCTCCAAGAAAGTGGTCGAACTGACAGTTCCGTTGCCTACCCTAAGAAGGAATTCGGAATAGGCTGTGGAACTACTAGTCCGATGAGCTGTTGTCAGGGCAAAAATTTTGAAATGCTGCCACAGATGGGAAGCCCGAAGTGAGACACAAACAATGTCAGTTGGAGTACGAGCGTTTACAACGACAGGCGCGATCTGGCGAAAGTCGCCACAACAGAGGAATATTTTACCACCGAATAGCTCACTGGAACGCATGAGGTCTCGCAGGGATCTGTCAAGAACCTCGAAAACGAACCGATGTGCCATCGGGGCCTCATCAAAGACAATGAGCCTTGCGGCCCTGATGAGCTCTGCTCGCTGGGAGCCGTTGGTGATGTTCCAAAAGCCGGTGCCGTCACCGAAGTCGAGTGGCAACCGGAACATGCTGTGAGCTGTAGTTCCACCAGGCATGTTACCCGCGGCGATCCCAGAGCTAGCGACTGCCAGTGCAACCTGACGACAACCTCTCACGTATGCGAGAATGACACGAATCAGAGTGGTCTTCCCATAGCCTCCCGGGCCGTCAAGAAAAATGATTTTCGACGACGTTCCGCTGGCAGGGGCATTGAGAACGGAGGTAACGTACTCAAATACGCGGTTTTGATCTTCAGAGAGCTTTGGCACCCACTCCTCCACAAACACTCTCTGTTGATTTTCACCATGTAAGAGCAGTTCTCTGCCCAACTCCGTCGTGTCATCGTGTACATCGGGGAGGCCATGATCTGCGACGCAAGAACCCTGCCGACGAAGACTCCGATCAATATCGATGAGACCTAGCTTGTAGGCCAGTTCAACATCGAGAGGATTACGCTCTATGTGATCCTCGCAGATGGAATCACGGAAAGCATCCCACAGGAGAGCTGCAGGAGCCCCCATGTTGCAGAGGATCACAAAGAAAGAACGAAGTCTCGGGCCAGTCATGAAAGTGGCGGCCTCGCGCAGTGCGTAGTGGTACTCCTGTTCGTCTTGCACCAAGCCAAGATGCCGCGCGACCCCTTGAAAAGTGCGGCAGTTTGGTCCACCGCGGGACAGGAGGTCGGCATAACCACGGCAAGATACAGTCATAAGCAGGATACGCAGGTAATACTGTTCTGTCCTGCTCGGTGAGACCCAAAACAGTCTGCACACCTTCTCGCCACGCTGTCGGGCAGTGATAAAATGGACGCCATCGGGGTGCTCGTATATCTCCGCAGTTTTTGGGCGCTTGGCATGAACCACAAACGTTTCATAGAACCCCTGATAAGTCAGGTCGTCAAACAGTGAAATACGAGGCCGGTCAAAGTAGATGGTGAGTTTGGAGCTGTTCCTAGCGGCTGCCTCTGCCAGTTGGCCAGGTCTAAACAGGACGGACTGCTTGCCCTCCAGATGGACGGGAAGACATTCAACCGCCGGCTCAGATTCTGATACTGGAAAGTTTAATAAACGCCAGCACGCGTCACTGGCACCCACCATTCTCTTCGTCACGTAATGCTGTACCTCATCATCTTGCTTACTGAAGGGAGTAACTGTGACGTTCTGGAGAGATCCTCCCTT